GAAGAGTAGCGTTTAATTACCATGACTTCCTATATGAACACAGCACTGAACACTAAGGCAGAAGAATTTTAAACTGCTAACAAATAAGTGGCTCATGAAACATCTACAGAATTATCTATGGACAGAGCATCTTCCTAACCAGAGGACAATCCAGCACATAGTCTAGGATCAGCGGTCCACTACCTGTGGGCTAAGGGTATTCTTTAAGCCAGCCCTCCTGAATTTGGCCCCACTATTTTGTCTGTCTGTCAGATGAATTACTGAGAGCATAGCCCTGTTCTCGGAGCTGTCAGGTTCCTTCGGGTTTCATGGAAATCAGCCATCTTACAGAAGAGGACATCCATCAAATCCACCAGAGAAATGTTCTTTCCTCTCCAGACCTTAGAGATGCCAGCCAGTATTGCCACCTGAGTGGGGAGCAAGGCTACATGAGCTGTTTTCAGACTGATGACAGCAGATGCAGGCTGCTACAGGAGGCAGCAGGAAGGCCCTAGTAGTCTGTGACAGCTATGGCTAGTCTGGCAGGGATGCTGCGAACATCCCAGGGAGCAGAAGAGCAAAACTATCATGAGTGACAGCATCACAGGGAGGTGAAGAAGATGCAGGGCATGTGCCCACAGAAAAATCAAAAACACTTTTTTTTTTTATTTAATGTAATATATCAGGTGAGCAGTAATTGGCTCATGGCTACAGAAAGAAACAACTTTTGCTGCCATTAGAAGACATCTTGTGACTTTATTTCCAGATACAGAAAGTTAGGTTGAAGCTCAAATTTGCAGAAAAAAAGAGTCCTCTTCTCCCTCAAAACTACCAAAACCAACTGTAATAATTTCATTTTGATTTTTCTTCATAACTGCTCCTTAGAAAACACTGCATATTCAAGCACTCTAATGTACAAGCAATCCTTACAGCTTTACTTGTGATGTCCTAAGTCTTCCCTCTTCAAAACAGAGCTAGAAGACAAATTCTGCACCCCAGTGATTTCAGAATAAAATTGGTTAAGATACCGAATAGAAATTTGATGTAAAACTTTTCATCCCCTCACACAACAGCTAGCATAATGTTGTTGGGTAAAGAAGTTAGAGGGAAAGTAGATGTTACAGATCCTTGAGAACATCTCCATCTTATTTTAAGGGAGTTTTAGCAGCATGACGTGAGCAATTTTGCTATAAATAACCTATAACAAAGAACCAAAGGTTATTTGTCCTTGCTTTTCCTCAAATTCCAGTACACCTTCCCTCAAATTTATTGTGTGAGATTAGTTTGAAGAATGCTACCTTCAAGTGAATTGTCCAGTTGCAGTTTCACTATTCTGTTGTATGCTTGATTCCTTCAGATTTCAAGTATTGCTTTCATTAGCACTGTCACATCCACAGCCGTATTCAACAATCCTTGCAAATCAAGCTGTTCTTGATGATATCTAAAAGGAATACAAACTCAGCACACTTCAGAGAAGTGAGGGCTGCAATGGACCCTGTGATGCTGGAAGAACTAGTGGAAGTCACAGCAAACCAAAGCCTGCTCACATATCCATCTCTAACAAACGAATACAGAGGACTTATCAGTATTATGCCAGTACACTAAATCTGCACCTAATCAACTTTGTGCTTTACCTTGTACTCATGGATGTGTCCACGCCATAAGCAAAACATTCTGAACTTTTCGTAATGGTTTCTGCAAGTACACAAAGCTGCTGCACTAGAGATAAAGCACATTTTTAGGCAGAAGTACTGCACAATCTGCAATCAAGCCCCAAACCACAAACTTCTGCTTTCTCTACACTAGACTTCAGAAGGTGAAGCCTAGCTCGTTTTACCTGAACATATTAGTAGCTTTATTCAGACTCCAAGAAAAGCATCAGAAGAGGTGGCAGCAAGCCCCTAAACCACCCCAGTTAACAAAAAAGTTGCCCTTTGAAAGAGTCAGCAAACCCACTGAGAAGTGCAACCCCCCCAAAAAAAAACTCATGTTATTACTAGCATCCAGTCTTGTACATGAATGATTTTATTTTCAGTAAAGCAACTTTTTCTTGATCAACTGGCACGCTTAATTGAGATTATACTTGTACCTAGGAGATGCAGTTAAGAATGTTAAAGTTTTTTGTATTTTTCACACCTTAAGATACCTGCATTTCATTCACATTATTCTTTAATTCAGAATTCCTCGACTATCAATGCTGATTTGGAAAAACTCAAGTTTTCTTTTAAATTTTTCTTCAGATTTTAGACAGGTAAAGTCCTCCTTTTCATCCTTCTTTTAGATCATCTTCTTAACCTGTAAACTGTATCTAAGAACATAAGAACTGCTTGTTAGGAAGATACAGACTATGTTCTCAAAATAGAGTGTGTTCTTTTCCAGAGAAACTTCTCACCTCGTCACCTGCACAAGTTTTTATAAAGCACCCACAGCTAATTTGCAAATCACCATTAACGGCCATGTCTATGCTTACTATATTTAATTTCATCAGACCTACTTAAAAGCTGAGTGCTCTTTACACCTTTGTTTTGTCTACTTCTGAATAACCACTAAGTAAGGAACTCCAGAATTGAAGAAACTCCAATACCAACAAAAGCCAAGAGTAACCCCCTTAATCCCTTGTCCAGCCCTCATAAACATTGTTACTTTTTCTTCCAAATATTGAAAACTTTTCCATGTGTAATCATTTATTGCTTTGGCAGAAACAAAACCTTTTCCCACCTCCTAAAAGGAGCCCAAAGAAACCTGTGCATACAAACCTAGCTGGCCTCTAATGTCCACAAAACAATAATAATAAAAATCTACTGATCTTATTACTACTATTCAGTTTGTGGCACCTTCTCTAAACTGTCATGTCAGTGAACAGCACTACATATACTGTCCTACAGATCCCAACTCCAGGGAATGGCTTGGAGAGAAATCACATGCTTGCCTTTGTCTATTGCCTGCCAACCACAAGTCCGGACATATATCCTTTTTGGATCAAATAAGCTGATGGAAGGGGCTAGAAAACAGTTCTTACTTATTTGTTACGGAAGAAGTTTGGTGAGCATCCTGTAGCACTCCATATTAAGGGAAGTAAATTTTCCAATTTCTTGTCTAAGGAAGAAAAATCCCTTATCAGTGAAAATCAGTAAGCCAGCATGAAATGGACACATTGGCATAGTACCTGGCATTGACTAATGGAGAGCAGTGAACCCCACGGCTAACAGCACATGGATAGCAGCAAGGAGCAGACAGATCCTGTGGCAGAGCCCTGTCTGTGGCTACAGCCATTGCTAAGCTGCTGCCATCCACGCTAGCAAGTCAGCCAGTCACCCCTGCAGCATGTAAGGCTGGAAAAGGCAGCAGTAACAGAATGAAGGGAAGTCCTGGATGAGTGGACAAGGGCTGTAACAGTGCACACTGTCAGGATTTGCAGCCATTTTAAATTCATGTAAAATTGTTGAACTTAATGACTACAGCATCACTACCGTATTACTGACTTCCAATGTTATCTTTTAGTTGGATGATCAAGGCTGTCTGCAAGCTTCACCAAGATAAAGAAATGCGGGTGAGAAAACTAAGTGGCTAAAGTTAATTGCATGTGCAACAGTGGTTAATAATGAAAGAAGTGAATAAGCACATGTACTGAGGTTGTAATTAAAAGCACATTTTTAAAACGCTCTGCCATTATCTACATGCACAGAGGTGATAATGGTAATCAGTTCACAGCAGTCACCAACTCAGCTCTAAGCACTATGCTAAACCACAGGGTTATGAATTCATTTCAGATATGGACTTTGCCACCGTCAAATGAGGAGGGTAGTGTATTCTGTCTAAGGAAAGGCACACGTGCTAAAGGTGAAGCAGCTCAGTCTGCACAGAGCAGCAAACTAGGAGGACACAAGCTGCCTGCTGTCAGCTGCATATGATTTAAGGCGTTGGTCGTGACGTCTGCCAGGTCCTAAAGCAACGTTCCAGGAGTTCATCATCTTGCACTACAAACAGAACCACAAATACAGCTGAGCTAGGTCCTTTCTTTATCAAACAAATAGTGAAAGTACTCTCGGGAACAGTCCCATGACTGAGCCTTGTCTTAACAACCCATGCATGATGACCTTCAAGGCATACTGCAAAAGCCTTTTAAACAAAGTGCCTCCAACTTGAATGAAGCTTTTTCATTTCGACTTAACTACTTAAGGATGCCCAACTGAAAAAAAAGAAAAAAGAAAAGCAACACCGCTGCACATTTGGGCTGTTCAGAACAAAAAGGAAAGGCTGCAGAGACTGCTTCAGCCATTTCTGTATGGACTAAGATTTCTACTTTCTGGTCACTAATTTGAAACAACCGCAATGGCAAGTCATAAACACCTCTACCCCAGCAAACCAGTGTTCAAGCACAACTCGCTTATATGCTCCTGTCTCAGCTCCAGCAGCTGGATGAAGGATTCACGAAGCACGAACCGAGTTACTCCCTCACTCTTTCAGGTGCTCTTGTCCATGCCAGAGGCTGAAAGCCAACCTGGCAACCGCACACAAGTTCCTACTGTTTTTAAGCTACTGTCTTTTCTGCAGCAACACTCCCTATGCAGGTGAGCTTTATCAAAGCTAGAAACACAGAATGTAAAACAAAAACACGTGCAAATGTTCACAAGCGATAACTTTGCGAAACCTGCCTTCGGAAGTCATAGCAAGCCAAGGCCTTGTGAAAGCAGAAGTACCGAACGTGTGCGAGCGAGCAAAGGAGTCTCGTGAATCTGCAGCCGTGACTGTGCAAAGATTTCATCCCGCTTCCCTTCCGAGCGAGCTCCCGCCCGAGAGGCCAGGACTTTGCTCCGTGTGTGTTTTTCCAGCGAGCCCTTCTTCTCCCCAGCCTACCCGGCTGTCAGCTTTTGGGACAGCGCTGGGCGAGCCCACCAGGCTGTGACACCTCTCTGGGAGAGGTGGGATGGGGGCACAGCGCCCAGGCCGGCTTGGTGGGCAAGCGGCTGGTTTTTGGGCAGCAGCGCCGTGCCCGGAGGCCCGTGGGCAGCGGGACTCACCGTTGCTGGACTTGAGGTCGCGGTGCAGGATGGGGACGATGGCCTGGTCGTGCAGGTAGAGCATGCCGCGGGCGATCTGCACCGCCCAGTTGACCAAGACGTGCGGGGGGATGCGGGCAGCCCCGGGCCCGGCCGAGGAGGAAGAAGAGGACGAGGAAGAAGACGAGGACGCGGCGGCGGCGGCGGCCAGGGCCCTGTTGAGGGACCCTCCGCGGGCGAACTCCATGACGAGGCAGAGGTTGGGCTCCCGCAGGCAGACGCCGTGCAGGGCGATGATGTTGGGGTGCCGCAGCATGGCGAACAGCCGGGCCTCCCGCCGCACGCTCTCCGCCGTGGCCGTGATGTCCTCGTCGGGGTCCCGGCGCGCCGCCTTCACGGCCACCTCGCGGCCCCGCCAGCTGGCCCGGTACACCTTGCCGAAACCCCCGACGCCGATCACCTCCCGCAGCTGCAGGTGCTCGAAGTCGATCTCGGGCGGGCTGCCCCCCGCCGCCCCCCACTCCTCCTCCTCCTCCTCCTCGTCCTGCTGCTGCCGCTCCCGTCCATCTCCGCCGCCACCGCCCGGCCGGCGGCTGGCGGTCACGTAGTTAGCGGGGAAGATGCCGAGGCGCTGCCGGATCTTCCCCGCCCACCACCCGTCGTCGCCGGACACGGCCGCGTCCTGCGACAGCACCTCCACCACGTCCCCGCGCCGCAGGCTCAGCTCGTCCTCGCCGCTCGCCTCGTAGTCGTACAGCGCCGTCCACAACGGCGCCGGGGCTGGGCTGGGCTGGGGCCGGCTCCTCTACCGCCACCACCACCGCCGCCGCCGCTCCCCGGCGCGGCCATGGCAGCGCGCTCAGCCCCCGCCGCCCGCGGGGCGCCCGCCCGGCCGCATCCCCACCTGCCGCCGCCCCGCCCCGCCCCGCCGCGCAGGGAGGGACGGAGCGAGGGGAGAGGGGCGGGGACAATGTGGAGGGGGCGCGGCCCGGCCGCTGCCGCCGCCGCTCGGGAGGGCGCAAGCGCCGAGCGGGGAGGGCGGGGTGGATTGGCCCGAGGGGAGTGCACGGCTGAGGAGGGGGTTAACGGCCATAACGGGCGGGGAGGGAGAGGGGGAGTGTGGTCCCCCTGAGGGGTCTGCCCGCTCGTCAGGTCGGGTGCGGTGCTTGGGGCTTCGCTGGAGTAAAAGCTGAGGTGGTTCTGAGGAAAATTGGCTTCTCTAATTCCTAAAGGGGGGGCGGGTGGGTTACACGCGGAGAGCTTCCTCCTCCAGCCCCGCTCTGCGCCCACCCTGTGAGGCCCCGCGTGGAAAAAAAAAGCCTGGAAACAGCACCTTCGCCACACCTGGTCCTGGGTCCAGATTTTCCACATCCCGTCTAGAAAAAATCATTTTCGAAGCACCAATACTTGTCTTGTTGGAAGCTTGAAGGAAGTGTATGGGCTTGGGGACACACTGTCTTCTCACCAATGCTGTGGGAAGCGCTGCTCTCAAAGTTGAACAAAATTTACTTTCATCTCTGGAGCCCATCACTTTGTCCCACCAAGCCCAACATCCTGGATGAAGCTGCAGCCAAGGGATGGTTTCCAGAGGTGGAAGCCGAGGTGTCTAGAAGAGGCTCGGGGAAGGTGCCAAACCACATCACCAGGTGGAATTAGCAGGCGTGATGAACGCTGCTGGAGTTTTCACACCAGAACCCGCACCCCGAGTAGCGCACGTAAACACAAAATTTGCAACTGGATATCCCAAGACTGAGGTTCCAAAATAGGCATGCAAAATTAAAATTACACTAAGTTCATAAATTCCTTTTTATCCCACAGCCTAAACCATGTCTGCAGCTCCCCACAAAAGGCGAAAATTAGACAGTGACTTACTGAACCGTGCTAACCAAAAAGAAAGAATGCAGAAGCAGCGTGTCTATCGAGTCTTTTCCCATTTCCTTTAATATAAGAGAATGCCTTGCAGCTATTCAGAGAGATAATTGCAAGCCTTTTCCTTATCTGCATACTTGCCTTATTATAAAAGCCATAAAGCATGTTGTAATACAAGCCTTCTGCCACACCAATTCCACCTTGAACTTTATCTGTTATCCGAAGGAATCTGCAGGAACTAATTAACTGAGGAATGTTTTGGGTCAGGCGAGGTGTTGGTTGCAGCACAGCAAAGAGTTTAAATATTTATTTAGAGCTGCCCTTCCAAAATTTGCTCCCCGAAGTACCACGATGCACGAAGCTCGGCACGCTCCTTGTTTCTGCAGCACCGGGCACTCCGGGCTCTCGGCATGTAACTGCTGTCCCCAGGTGCTCTAATGATGGAAATTATTTTGCAGAGGACGGCAGGAGGCTCCTGTAACCTTTCCCATGGCACCACCTAGTGGAGTCGCGGTTCCGAAGGAGGCACCGCGGACTGCTGAAGGTGAAGGGCGCTGCTCGGGGACTCTGCGGTCGCGGTTTTCATCCTCCTCACTCCGCTGCAGCTGCGGTGCCGTGCAGCTGCGCCACGGGGACACGTGCCCTGGGCTGGAAATGCCGGCGCCCTTCGTACCCGCAAGTACCAATGCACCAGCAAACGCTCGGTGCCAACGTGAGCGAACATCAGATGAAGGAGAGGGGCAGGATTTGAGGACGGGATGGACAAACCGCCCTAACGGGACACAAGCTGCATCAGCTGCAACGAAGCGCTCGCCACCTGGGGCTTCCAAATCACGCCCGGCATGACTCAGCTGTCTCAAAAAAAAAAAAAAAAAAAAAAGAGAAAAGTTGGGAAGAAGCTTTCAGCTTTCCAGTCCCGCCTTTCTCTCCCCATCTCTGCTTTTCGGAGGTGTGCGCGTTGTCATGTGTCAGGACGCATAGGGAAAGCAGGCTTTTTTTTTTTTTTTTTTTTTTTTCTTTTTTTCTTTTTTTTCTGCCAAGCCAACCGCGTGAGCTGTCACGCAGCAGAGCCGGTATTTATAGGGGGCTAACCGCAGATGCGTGCGAGGCAGCGCCGGGACTGCGCCCTCCTCCCCGCCCGTCTCTTTGGCGAGTCCCCCGACCCCCCCCCTCCGGGCGTGTCCCCGAGCCCCCCTCCCGGAGCATCCCGGGGGCGGGCTCGGGGCGGGGCGGGCGGGATGCTCGGCGTCGCGGGGCACCATGGGAGAATCCGCGGGCCCCCGGCATGGCGGCGGCGGCGGCGGGGGGCGGCTGAGGGGCGCCGCTGGCGGTGGTGGTGGCGGCGGCGGCGCCGGGGGAGGCGGGGGGCGGCCATGGTGTCGCCGGCGGCGCGGCTGGTGGTGCAGGGCGTGTGGGCGGCGCTGACCGGCGGCTGGTACCACGACCCGGAGCTGGGCGCCTTCGCCAACAGCTGCCACCTCTATCTGTGGCTCTTCCTGCTGACGCTGCCGCTGGCCATGCACCTGGTGAGAGCCCCGCCGCCGTGGCGGGACCGGGAAGGGCGTCCCCGGCCGCTGTGGGGTGCGGGGAGGGGAAGGCAGCGGCCAGGCCTGTTCCTGGGGTGACCCCCGCGGGGACAGCTCCAGCGCGTCCCCACCTGGCCCGGGCTGTGCTGCTGGGGAGGGAGGATAAATGGGGGGGGCTGGGGCCGAGCGGTGTGCGCCTTGCTGAATGTCACCCCGCTGTGTGTCACCCTGCTCTGTGTCACCCTGCTGTCACAGCGCTGCTACACACAGCCCTTTGGGCTCGACGTAGCAAGGCGGTAGTTTTATAACCGGGGTGCATTTGCCTAACTTTAGTGCGGCTTTCCTTGAAAACTTGAAAGTTTACTCTAGGTGTGTTCTCCTCCTGTGCTAGGAAAGCCTAAAAATAGTTTGCTGGATCATTGCATCTGTTCGTTGGCGTGTTCGTCAGTGACTTGTAGCTGTGTACTGCTTCTGTTGGTGAAAATTGCCATTCATCTCACATTGACTACTAAATTCTTAACAAGTTTGTAGGTTTTTGTTTTTTTTTGGGTGGGGCAAAAATTCTAAACAGGTCTCATCACCCTACATAGTCAGCTATAGGCTTCATTTTCAAAAGCAATGAGCATTCACGACTCCCTCTGCAATCCCAGGGAAAAGTCAGTCTTGTGTTTTTTAAAAATCAATCAGTGTACTCTGTTTTGTGGCATGGATTGCGCTCACTCCCTGTAAGAATGGTTCACGGAGTTCTTGCACCAAGGTAACAGTGTATTTTCTTCTGATTAATTGCACCTCTGCCTTCTGCAAGCCAGCAGGAACCTGAAGTTGTAGGATTTACTGCCAAAGTGGTATGTGTGATTGTAAGAAGGAAAAAAAAAGGGGGGGGAGAAAAAAGTAAGGGTTAACTTTTCCAGTTGGTGCTAGTAGGTTTGTGTCTGAAAGAATGTGTATTGCCTTGTGGGTAATTTCCATGCTAATACCCTGGAAGAAGGCATGCAGGGTTGCACAAAAGAACACTGGACCTAGAGATTCTAGGTTAGATATAACATAGGAAATTAGTTAAAGAGAAAGAAGGACACCTAACTTATCTACTGAGCTTCTCACTTTCTCTCTCCTGGGTTTCATCATTGTCTATCCTGATGGACTTGCTTTTTCTGCAAACTGGCCAACTTTGTGATGAATCATCCAGTTAAATGCAGGACTTATGTTCTTGAGCTAATGTATCGCAATGGGAATTCTTTATCCTTGATAAGAATAATGCATTTATTATGCTGCCTGCTCAAGTAATGATGTCCTCAAGTATTTGTTTTCCTGCTTTTAAGTGGTTGGGCTTTGTAAACTTTGTGCAAGCCACATATTCTTGCCACTTAGAAAACTGAACCTGCCATTTAATTAAAGGTTTTCTTTGGGGAATTTTATTTATAATGTTTGACATTGTTTGGGGTGGTATTTTTGTTACACACTTACCATTAGTAGTTTTGGATTCAGCTTAAGCAGTCACAGATATCTCTTGAAATGACAAAGTCAGAACAAAATAGAGTACTAGTACTAAAAATTTTCCTTTGAATTGGATTGACTCAATCATTCCTTTGTCAAAGTCAGAAAGTCTCTGTGGAATGGTTTGATTTGAATGAACTGGCAAAATTCATCCGTCTCCTTTTAGGTTTTTCGCACTGGCTCGGGTGAGATATGCTGACAGTAGCATCAGGGAGCTTATAGTATCAAGTTGTTTCTGTTGTGTGGATGGAGGATTTCATTCTCTAGCACCGTCAGCATAGCTTACTTTGCTTCTAATTGTTCCAGTATGAACTTCCCCATCCCTGAAAATGCATATCTTGGTTTCCATCTCTCCCTTTTCTTTCTCGGTTTTCCTTTGTAGTAGTAAATATACAATTAAAAATGTATATTGAAAACTCTTTGGAGCAGCATTGCTGTTAAAATCAACTTTCAAAATCTTAGTGAGATCTCTTTTTACCATGTCGTGTCAAATCTCATAGCAGATTATGAATTAGTTATCTTATTCCACCGAATAGCCCAGGGTTCCCAGGTGTCGTGTGCAGGAAAGA